TGCAGCCCCCCAGCACCGCAGCCCCTGCGGGACGCCGGAGGGACCGATGCGGGGTTGGAGAGAGTCCAATAGCTATCCTTGGTGGGAGCGGGGCCGCAGGGGGAGGTGGCTGGCTCCCACCGCGGACCCGCACTGAGGACCTCTCTCTCCCCCTTTGCCGTGCAGACAGCAAGATCCCCGACGACACGGGGCTGTGCCGCACCGTCCTGCCCGATCCGGAACCTTCCCAGGGGCGCTTCTCCCCGGAATCCCACCTTACTGAGGCTGCCGATGGCACCTCCGAGTCAGCGCCCAGCTGCGAGGGCAGCGTCTGTGACAGGGTGTCCGAATTTGAGGATTTCTGGAGACCTCCCTCGCCCTCCGTCTCGCCAGGTAGGACCGGGACGAGCAGCGCTGAGCGAGGGTCCGGCAGCGCGTCTGTGTCGGTGCCGTGAGGCAGCGTTTCACGGCTGGGCGCTGCCGTCGAAAACGAATGGAAGGGAGAGATTTACCTCTTCCCAAGGCAAATCTGTCCCTGCCACTCGTTTTCGGGTTATCTCTTTAAGGCTGGTTTTCCAGCCTGTCTCCCACTGCTGAGGGAGCAGTGGGTGACAGACTGAAGGAAACCTGTGATGCCATCGGGCGCTGATTTTTTTGGTTTCTGATTAATTGTTAGTGGCAAACCGGTTATCTTTTAAGGGTCCCAGCATTTTCCTAAAGGGTCCTGCTGCCCGGAGTTCAGATGTTTTTAAAGACAGCAAAATTTTCTGCTAGGCTATCTGTATACCTGTAGTAAACAGCATTGACTCTGTGTTGTGTACTACCTGCTAGAGGTTTTTCCTAACTCCTTTTCACGTTATTTCTTGCCTCCTGCCTATAAAAAGGATCTCTCCCTCCCTCCCCGCCTTCTCTCTCTTTTTGTTTTTCTTTTTGTTCGTTTGTTTTGTGTTATGTTTCTTTTTTCCTTTTCTAAAAACACATTTGTAAAAAAACAGATGAAAATAATGGCGGTCAGATTTAAACACCTCAAATCCAGGAAACTCACACTTATGGCTGCAGTGCCTGTCTCTAGCTCCCTCATCCTGCCTTTGATGTGGCTGGAGCAGTGGGAGATGCTGTCCCCAGCCTGGCGCAAATACTTATCTCGTTTAAATATACAATGGTGTCATTTTGTAACAAAAATATGTATATATAAAAACCACTTTTTATTGCCTCGGTTAAAAAATGACAGCTGGAAAATAAAACAATTTCTGTCGTCGTGAAGGAAAAATTGTCTCAGCTTTACCAACTGACAGCAGCCACCAGCTAACGAATACTTAGTCCCCTTTCCCCACCGATTTTCCCACTTAGTCTTTACAGTGTCCTTGCATATCAACGGCTGATTGTAATAACGTGGATTTGCATTTTTAAAGCCTCCCTCTCTTTTAAGTGTCCTAAAGCCCTTCGAGGGGACATTCAAATGTTGCCCACTATCATCACAGCCAGACATGGGACAGTTTCAGGCTGTGTAAATGACAGACCAGATCAAATGCGGCAATCTCTCTTTTGCTAATATTTCTGCATAAAGTGTAGCGATGTGTGTAATTTTTGTTCTAACGAATTTGTCCTGCTCCTCCTTCCCCGAATAATTACAACTTCTGCACGGGAAACAGACCATTTTCACGAGGTGCCTAAAAGACAGATGTACAATGGAGCAGGTATTTACCAGGGCTGCTCTGCTTTTTCTTCCTCCCCATTAATTTCTTCCCCCACTATGGGATTCATTAGCTCCCAGGTGACCATCCAGCTACCCAGGGAAGATATCTTTGCAAAATGAGAGTGACATCCTCAGATCAAGATTTTTCAGGGGCAGTAGGGGAGGGTGGTCCTGGGACTGTTCCCATTAAACAGGAGGAATGGGAAGGTAAGGAGACTCCAAGTGCTGTAAGGGAAGAGCTTTATTAAATGAACCTCAGTGCATTGAGAAAGGTGCTGTTACATTAATGATGAAGGCAGAGGCAGCAGGATGAGATAGTCGGGTTTCCTCCCACTGCTCCCCCCAAACCCCTCTGCTTTCCAGCTGCTTTGTCAGATTCAGTGTGAAGCTGGAATTCGTGCTTAGGTCGCTTCTGCAAGATGCACTGGTGAGAAACTGGATTTCTGATTGTGTTTGTCTGGGTGGGGCACAGAAACCGTGCTTTGACAGGCAGGGCAAATGAGAAATCGTGCTCAGGGCAGCTGTGGTGCGAGCTGCATCACCCCCTTATCCCTAGAAGTGAACGTAGATGCAGATTGCATTTCAATACGTAGTGAAAGCCAGTCTTCAGGTTTGTGTCTGAGTGCTGTGCTGCTGATCCAGGCGGGCGTGCACAGACACAATACCTGTTAACAGTCTAATAGCTTCTTGACTCCATCAGTGCAAATCACTTTGTTATTTAACCTCACTTTCTACATGTTTCCGTAATCACATGCGTTTGCATATACATAAGGTGCCTGATAGCTCAGTGCAGCGGTGTATTAGTGTCTCCTGATACTGAGCCTGTTGATGCTATGGTCTTGGAGGGAGGCTTTTACTGCGTGTAATGGAGTTGTGCAGAGAGCGTGGTATTCTGTGGCTTGTAGAGGAGGGCACTCGAATTTTTCCTTGCTGAACATATCAATCTGTTCCCAGCCATTTCAGGTTGAGTTTGCCTTGCAAACAAATTAAAGAGCATTGATGTTTTTTTCTCCCAGAAGTGGTCTATATGAAGGCTGTACAGAATTGCTAGGAAGAGGAGGGAGAATCTATGTCTCTCTCTCTGCTCACCCCTTAGGGGCCTAGATGCTGTGGAGCAGGGAGAGGCAGACACAGAAGTAGCCTGCAGTGTGGCAGAGCAAGGTTTGCAGGTCGCCTTGACACTGGGTACAGATCTTGGGTGGCTTGAGCTTGTCCCTGACGAGTAAGTGTGCATGGCTCTCCTGCATTTGTGCTTGAGAGGTCTCTAGAGTGTGAGGTGATGGAAGGAACACGGCACGCAAACTGATCTGTGGTGCAGTGTTTACTGTGTCCCGTGTTGCCGGTTCCAAGGGCTCAAAAATCAGGTCAGTCTTCCCTCTCCTCTCACTCAACGAACTGGGTTAGAAATCAAGATTGTAAGTAATACCTTATGGATATTCAGTTCTAGTGTTGAAATATTGAGGGTTTACATCTTCATGCTTTCCTTTACAGTCTGGGCTAGAAGTTGACTTTAAGAGGAAAAAATAAAAAAGTTAAAACAAGAACAAGCAAGCAAAAGGAAAGCTGAGGGCCTGATGAAATCATGCAGTTTCAAGAGCTGGGGCTTTAAGATAGTTTTGAATCTTGCGATAAAATCGTGAGAGATGGCAACACTGAAACTGGTTGCAAAGACACAAGATAGATGATGTGATGCTGACCACAACTTTGCAGTCAGTGCAGAACAGGAAAAATCATGCTCAGCACCATGTCAGCTAATTTGATTTCATCGCTTTGTTCAAATGTCCCACTTGGTACGTGCTCATATATTTCCAACCAAAAGACTGCTAATTTCAATGGAAGAATTTGAGACTGTTAACATCTGAAAATATGTAAAGGATAGGAAACAGTCAAGTCATTCAAAGCTCAATTTTCACCTAATTTCCCACTCTCTTCAGTAACAGTGACCATCTGCCTATCCAAATGGATAGTCTAATGCATCGTGCCTTCCTTCCCTAGCACACCCCTGGTTATCTTGGTTTGCTGAAGGTTGAGAAAGCCATGGGAGCTGCCAGGAATGAGAAGAAACAAGGGAGCAATTGTGGGTGGGCAAGTTTTTGGATAAGGGAGGTTATTCTGGAAGCCCAAGTTGTACGGGATGCCAGTATCTCTGCGAAGGCATTGGCACTTCAGCAGTTAATGGATTCATCTTTTCCTTGGTTCATTTGTCCAGTGGAGACATTTGACTCTCCCAGTGCTGCTGCCTGTTGTGATGAAGAGTGAAAGCAGAGCACCTCAGGCATTAATCAGCATCTCTGGCAGACACAGTTGGGGTGCAGTCCTGTACCTCATGTTCCCTGCTCAACTGTCCATTCCTCTATGTGAGGCTCCTTGCGCTTTTGTGCCTTTTAATGCTGATCTCAAAGGCCCTCCATGGCATCAGACTCTGCTATGGGCCCCCCAAGCATGATTCACCTTGTGGTGCCCACTGCCATTGCCAAAGGTGAGCCTGGTAGATCCAACTGAAGCCATCTGAGCTTGTCCTGGTGGAAGATCACTTTGATTATGACTGCTAGGAAAATCTTTCTCTGTCTTCAATTTTTAATGTGGCCTATAGTGATGATTTTGGGAAGCTCTGTTTTGGGTGGACTCAGTTTCTTTACTTGGAGAAACTCAAAGCAATCTGAAACAACCATGATTTTATTTCAGATGAGGACCGATTTTATTTTTTTTTTTCTGAAAAAGTGAGGCATGACATTAAAGCACCACAGAAGCTGTTCTTTATTTCAGTTATGCTGTAGTATAGGTGCAGACAGTTGTGGCACAAAGTTGAGAGACTAGATTTGGACATTAAATTGTGCAATGAGCAGGGGTTTTTTTTGTTGAACAGGTAAATCTTGGCACACTTGCTCCTTCTGGCACCTCTGTCATGTCATATTTGCTATATGGATGTGTGGGATCTACATCATAAATATGTGGACTGTCAACTTTGATGCCCATCTTGGGACATACTTGATGCACTTTTCTGAGGAGATGCAGATAAAGCCAAAGGAAGTTGCAGACTGAGTTGTTTAGTGTCTCAGCAGTCGGATCAGTGTGTGCACACCTGGGCACCCAGAGATGGAGGCAGACAAAATTGGTGGGTGCTTTAACTTGGCTGGGACAACGGGTGAGTAGGTAGTACTGAATGCACAAACCCTACTGTGCAATAGAAAATGTCCTCCCATTAGAGATGAAAGGGCAGCCTTAAAGTGCAGTACAGGGGTCTGGCTCTGGCACAAGTCCGAGTGCTGAGATGATTGTGCCCTGTGATAGTGGTTGGTTTGTGAAGCGCACTAATTCCCGTGCCCTTGTGTTTCTGCAGCCTCGGAGCGATCTGTGTGTCCGTCCCTCGATGAAGCATCCCCCTTCTCAGTGCCCTTCAAACCGTACATGTGGAACAGCCTGGGTGGCTCTGAGCTGAGGCACCTTGTGCAAAGCTACAGGCCCTGCCCAACGCTGGAGCGAACCTCAGCCCTGGGGCTCTTCTGCGAGCGAAGCTCTGAGCCTGCCCTCTATGGTGCAGAGTGCAGCTCTTCTCTTGGACTTTATGGTGACTTCGGCTCCCCAGGCCCAGGGTTGTTTGAGCGGCCACCAGCAGCAGCACCCGGACTCTATTCCGAGACGCAGCCTGGGCTGCAGCAAGACAAGGGGCCAGGTGGCATCAAAGTGGAGTCGGACCTCTTGTGCCGCCCATTGCTCATCAGCACTGGCTCTTACAAGTGTGTCAAGTGCAGCAAGGTAGGGACCCCTTTCTCCCACACTGGTTATGGCTCTTCCCCAGCCCCTTCTCCCTGACAAGCCTGAACCTGTGTGTTCTCTCCCCTCAGGTCTTCTCTACGCCACATGGCCTTGAGGTACACGTGCGCCGCTCACACAGTGGCACGAGGCCCTTTGCCTGTGACATCTGTGGCAAGACCTTTGGCCATGCAGTCAGCCTGGAGCAGCACAAGGCTGTGCACTCGCAGGTGAGAACAGGGTGGACTGCCAGGATGAAGGTCTGCGGGCCAGGGCCAGCTACTTACTTTGGCCAACACTGAGGAGGCCACAAAGGCTATCACAGGGCAGTAGGTGGGCATCTAAACTGAGGAGAGGAAGAGAACATGGTGGGGCTGCAGAAGGCAGTTGTGGGTGAAGAATACGGTGGCAGGCAGAGGAAAGGGTGGGCAGTTGAGAGAGAAGGAGCAAATCAACAAATTAAAGAACACAGGCTTTGTTTCCATTCCCCAGACCGCGTGTGCATCTGTATTAAGCAACAGGCACTTTTGGCACTCCAGAAGTAACAGATAATAAATCGTAAATATTCAGTGTCAGAGCTGGAAATTGTAAGGCAGATGCGGACTTTTTAAAACAGCTAAAGCAACTCACAGTGCTTTCTTTCGATGCAACTCCCCTCATTCTTTCTCCTCCCCTCCCCCAAAGAAATGAGTCTTCCCTCGTTTGTAGTCATTGTGTCTGTGCAGGGAACATCTGAACGACCAGTCAGGTATAGAGCAGACTTCACCCGTCTCGACACACTCTGAGTCACACACCAAAAGAATATGGTAGTTAATTTTGGTAGGAGGACTTGTAACATTTTCCACCTGCTGATATTGTGCCACATTTCCCCTTCGCCCACCCACCTGACCTGGCAAATCTTCCTTCTTCAGATTGGCTTTTGGAGGATAGAGTTACAGCAATGTTTTTTTGCTGTTTTATTTACAATTTCATGAGTGTGCAACAGCGGAACACACGATGAGGGGAAATATCACCCATTAAATAATGGTGAAAAGAGCAGCACTGCATATTGTGTTATTGGAGGGAACAACATTTCAGGGAGGGAGAGTGCGTTAAAAGCCGAATAAGGTGATTGTATGCAGGCATAACAGGAAAAGGAAGGTATGATGGTAGTTAAGGGATGGAAAGTAAAATGATTTATGGTGGAAGAAAGTGGTGGAGAGGAGTGTGTGAGGGAGAGGAGACAGACAGCAAGGCGTTAATGTATTTATTTTGATATGTTAGAAAGCCAGAAAGCTGTTTTCCCCAGGTGCTCTAGGTACCTTTCACTTGAATTAGAATGCAACTACAAATGAGCAGTTAGTTGTTACCTTGCCAGCAGAAGTCAGCCTGCCACAGAGATTTCCCAGGAGAGCCAAGCAGAGCTCAGCACCCGCTTTGCTGTATACAGTGGAGAGGTGGCCTCTGAACAGGGCTGCAGCTGTTGAGCTTCCCAGTGGAGTGGTCACGTCTTGGGCCCTGTTGAAATGTGCAGGCAGACTCTACCCAGTCGGTCGGGGCTGCTCCCACCCGGCCATTCCTGCCAGCAGGATGAGCTCTTCAGTTCCATTTTTGTGAGGAGCGGTGCACAGCACAGGGAGAGGTTACATTCTCTTTCCTGTTATGTGGTGCTATCATGGCAGTGGTAGCGTCTCTGCAGGCCAGCCCAGCTCTCTGGGTAGTGGAAGTGCTTGCTGAGGCAGAAGGGGAAAGGCGATACGCCACTGGGCAGTTTGCTGCTGGTGGGATCACTGGTGTGGTGTAACGTGTGTGTTTGGGCTCTTCTCTCTGCAGGAACGCAGCTTTGATTGTAAGATTTGCGGCAAGAGTTTTAAGCGGTCTTCTACTCTGTCCACCCACCTGCTCATTCACTCGGACACTCGGCCCTATCCGTGCCAGTACTGCGGGAAGCGGTTCCACCAGAAATCCGATATGAAGAAACACACCTTCATTCACACAGGTCAGCCCTGCAGCTGCTGGTGTTCAGCCCAGCTGGGGGGACAGGTCTCTGAAGAGAGCAGTCCATTCCTCCTCAGCTGGGACTGAGCATGAACCTCCCTGTGCTTCTCCCTGCCCTGCTGCGGTCCATACTATCAGAGCTGTGATCGTGCAAAGGAGGACGATTTGAACGTGGCTTCATGAACAGCAGCTGCAAAATAACCCAAATCCTCGCAATCCAATCAGTGTTCCCTTAATAGGATCCACCAATGTTTATTCAAAGGGCTTTTGTGTAAGATGATTTGTAGAGTATGATATGCGTGTAGCCTTGATTCACATTTCAGGTCTCTGGAAAATGACAGGTGAACTTGATGGCAGCATTTTTTTTTTTTTCAGGATCTACTAATTTACGATAGGGACAACAGAGGTCTCCTCCTCTAGATCAAACACTAAACTGGAGGGCCTAGGGTCCAACTCTTAGTCTAAATATTTGTTCAGAGTTTGTCTGCACTTCCACCCGGATTTTATGAGAAATGGCTGCAGTTTGGTACAGAATGGAAGGAGAGGTGCAGAGTTCTCAAGTTTCACTGTTAGTAATAAACATGGAAACTAATAAAGTGCAGGTGAATCACCGAAGGAAATTGTTTTAAAACCACTGTTCAGTGAGAAGGCAAGTTTATCAGCAATCTTTCAAAGAAAATGTTGCCTTTCAGACCTGCACCATTCATTTAAAACAGGGGGAAATGAGTGATGTGTGAGATACGGAAGCATTTGTAGACTCAAAATAACAACTGTACTGGGCAAACCCAAGGTTCAGATGACCAAAATCCTGTTTCTGGATAGCGACCGCTAGCAGATATCAAGGGTGAAGCCTAAAAATGCCAAATGTGTAGGAAGATGGCAGTATATGTAGTGCTGCTTGGTTGTGACTTTCCTGGATAACAAGCAGTGAACAATAAATACTGCTTACAGAGATTTTCCACCAGATGTTTGCTGGTTGAAAATGAACTATTTAGGGAATAGCACAAAATATATTGCCAAATGAGGCTTGATTAAGTAGAATTTCAGCCGAATTCTGAATCAGTCAAAACCATTATTTTGTTGTGAGATCAGAAACTGTGCCTGGGCTTTTAAATTGCCAGTATAAAACCAGGTCCTTAACTGAATCAGGGATCCAGTTCGTATGCCACCTACACTTGTGAACCAGGCCCCCAGCACATTTTGTATGGTTTTCTATTTCCAAGAATCTCATCGTCAAACTTGCAAGGAGTTTGCTGTTCCAGCTGAAGTCAGTGGGCTCTGCAGGTGCAAAGCCACTCTGAAAATCAGGCTTGGTTTTGTGGCTGGGTTCCCTTTTATCCGTTACTTGATAATAAACACTATGAAAATGCACTGAGATCCTGCTCCCATGCAGGCCGGTCGAGTTTTGCCACTGACCCCTCCACAGGAGAAGTTCCAGAGGCTCATTTTATTCCCATTCACCTGCAGGGGTGACTGCTAGAATTTCAGCATGGGGAATGGAGAGAAGAGCACACCTCTGGATGAACTCTGCCTGTTTGGGTTCACTTAAGAGCCCTCATACCTCCCTTGGGGACAGAACCCCAGCTCACTGGGTTTGGCGTAACAGCTTCTACCTGTTCCACCTGCCCCCATGCTGGTGCTGTAATAATCAATGTCAGTCAGCCAGCGTGACCTGGGGGTCTTTCCAGCAGTTCCTAATGTTTCTAGGACACAAAGCCAGTTTAAATTGCACAGAGCCTGTGTAGCCACACGTGTTCAGAAGCACTCTGTGCTTCAGGCTGCTCCCAGGACTATACTGGGCCAATGGAGGTTCAGACCAGTCCAGGACTGCTCAGTTGCAGTGCAGGGTCAGCTAATGCTCTGGGGCTCCTGACTGCATGGTTTTTATAAGAATGGCTTCTTTGGTAATCACACAGGAATCACTTTGATTAGCTCTAAGGCCCAGGGTGTATTTCCTGTTTGCTGTGGTCCTGTGTGAGCTGCATGTTGCCTCTTTCACACACACTCTCTTCTCTCCCGCCTTCTCCTCGCAGGTGAGAAGCCTCACAAGTGCCAGGTGTGTGGAAAAGCCTTTAGTCAGAGCTCCAACCTCATCACCCACAGTCGGAAGCACACAGGCTTCAAGCCTTTTGGCTGTGATCTGTGTGGCAAAGGCTTCCAACGAAAAGTGGATTTACGGAGACACCGGGAGACACAGCACGGTCTGAAATGAGTCCTGGTTGCAATACAGAAGGCACCCACAACACTATGAGAACAGACTCCCTTGGCTTCCCCACTGGACCAGAGCTCAGTTCTGAGCACAGATCCTGGCATTACTTTTCTGACCAGGAGCTCAGAAAGGAAAGAAGAGGACAGGACCATGCATTGACAGCTCAACCTGAATGACTGTGAAAGCGGAAATTAAAGGCTGAGGTTTCTCTGTTTCTCTCCCCCTCTCTCTTTCCAAAATAACACTGGAAAACAAGCCTTTTAGATATGAAGCCTGATAGTGCAAAGACGGAGAAGCTACCAAATATCTGTAAGCTGAAAAATATTTCTCCCATGGCCAAGAGGAACCCCCTGAAGTTTTCAGTAGCTTTAATCACTTTGCAGGTAAATGTGGTCTTTACGTGGTAAAGACAAGAGAGCCATCAGCACGTGGTACAGGGAGTGCTTGCCTTGGTTGAGTTTCAGTGCTGAATGGCTTCACTCTTGGTTTCCTGTCAAGAAAACCTGGAGGATCAGGACTGAACTGTGCGGTTTGACGTCTTGCTGGTTCTTAAGTAAAGGTACCAGCTTGGGCCTGATCCTGCTGTCACTTTTTCTGGTGCAAATCAGGACCTGCATTAACAGTTACAGAGAAGCTCTTTTTGTCCTCCCAGAGCCATCTCTCTGTGCAAGCCCTGGCTCTGTGTGTGTGTGTGTGTGTTTGAGGCATGGGGGGTTACTTCTTACTGCATCCACTGGGAAGGAGAAAGCTTGTGAAAGACAAGTGGAAAAGCCAAAGCACAGAGTTATGCCTTATAACTAGAAACCCATCCAACATGTGATCCTGACTGAGGAGGGCAGGAGCACTGGGTAGGCACAGACTTTCTGTCCAGAACCATTATTGGCTTCTGCACTCTGGTTTTGTTCTAATAACTGGAAAATAGCTACTCAATGGCGTCATTTGTATATTTGTTTTTGTTTTTTAATTTTTAAAGGGAAACTCAGCTGAGGTGGGCAGGAATCATTATAAAAGTATAATTGACTGAATTTGCCTTAAATGACCCTGCATGTACCTCAGTTAAAAAGTGCTGTTTTTACCTTGTTGACAAGTTTGTAAATGTTCTTATTTAGATTTTATGGAGTGTGTTCTGTTTATTGGTACATATTTATTGGAACAATGTTTTAAGTTAATAAAGTATTCAGGATGGTCGAGAGTGATTTTTATTTAACGTATAATTTCAACACATACGGGAATGTCAGCCATTACGACGATACACCACAGTGATGGTCAGAGGTATGGCATTCAAGGAGGGAATTCAGACACAGCAGAGTCTGCACAAGGGCTCTGGTGATTAAAGAACACCACTGTCATTTATTGTCCAGCTCCCACTGATTCCAGTTAAACGCTTCACACTTTTGAAGACTGGGGTATACTGTGCTTAGGACTGTGACCATGAAAGGGTTTAGAGGGGAAACAGCAGTTTTAAGTGTCTGCTTTGGGAATGTAGGCTGGCAGAAGCCCCTGCCTCAGCCCAGGAGGAACTTGGATGTCCTCCTGCAAGATTAAATGTCTGCACCCAGGAGTTTGTAGGGACACCTGAGCAGCAGGTTTGTCATTTATACTTATGTCTGTTGAGACTCACAGAATTGCCTTTTGCCTGCCTTTCTTGTCAGTAGGTCTTGCTCCATCTGGCAGTCGCAGCCCACACAAAAGAGAAGCAGGAGGATAACAAGAGAGGTCCCTTCTCCTTTTCCCAGCAGAGCACAGTGTGGCAGCCTGAGCTTTTACACATGCACGTAACCTTGTGTGCCCACATGGATATATACACTTGTTTCCAGTTTTGTACTTTTATTTGGGATAAAACCAGTGAGCAGAGGCCCCCTCTGCCCCACTGGGCTGGCCCTGCCCTTGGGGCACCCTGCCCACCTGAGACCTGTGGAATTTCACCTGCCGTGGTGCCACCAAGGTCCCTCCATGCTGCTGCTTTTTTCTGCGAACTTCAGCTTCAGTGCCTTCCTCACAGGCTGTGATATCTCTGCCAGGCTAACCCAGCATGTGCTGCTTGGACAGGGGTCAAATCCTCCACACACAGTCACCCACACCAAGGCTTCGCAGGTGGGGCTTTTATAAAGCAGAAACATGGGACGCAGTCATAGTGGCGAGGGGGACAGGCTGTGGCACAGGCACACAGGAGCTGCCAGGTGCTCTGAAGACCACATTAGGCCCATTATGTTGGGTTAATTAATGCAGAAGATCAGTGTAGGAGACTAAGTGGTAATGGAGAAGGCCTGGTGATGGAGGAGTCTCTGAAGAGTGGCTCTCAGCAGTGGCACAGGTAGGTGTGGGGTTATACTGGGGTAGTGCTTGACCCTTATTTTCCAGGAAAGCTGCTGTTGTGGGTGGAGTGAGTGCTGGCTGAGGGTACTGGGCACAGGGTGGCTGGGGTGCAGCAGCTGGCCCCAGCCCCTCTGCCCTCAGGGGGGCCTTTTCCTGCCAGGCACAGCCTCCCTCCCACTAGGCAGGTCTCGCTCCAGCAGGCCCCGAGTGGGCTCAGTTATTGACATTTACTTTAAAACCTGCAATATCAATGTGTGCCTGCCCCCCAGAGCATCTCACTTCTGGATAGGACAACCAGTGTGGTGTGAGCCTTGTGCTGACTCGTGGGCTGGAGCCGGGCCTTGGGGGAGGCAGCCACTGGTGAGGCGGGAGCGCCTCTCAGCACAGACACAGCCTGGGGGGCAAGACTGTTCCTCAAGAGAAGAAACTTGGTGGGTGTTTTTAGTGGTTTAAGTGTATCTTCCCCTACAGTGTGTTGTAACTTGCTGCTATACCTCAGGGCACCAGCACTGAGCCGTTGCTTGGGCCTGAACACCTTTGAAATGGCGGTGCCTGGCTGCATGGGAGGGAGTTCCCTGCTCACCAGCCCCACTTGCACAGAGAGGCAGCTCAGCTGCTGATGTGGGCGAAATGTGGCTACCTCTGGGAAAAAGTCATGGCTTTAAGGTGGGAAATTTGAAATGAAGAGGAGGAAAAAAAGATCTATCTGGGGAGAATCAGAACAGGGTACTGAGAGGCCATGGTACAAGTCTGAAGATTGGAAATATCTCTTGGTGTTATTACTGCGTGCCATTAAAAATGCATTGTGCATATTACATGACTCATTATTCATGAAGCAGGTTCCATACCTTTTGTCTGCCAGAGTAACAGTAGAAAGGGTAAGGAGAGACGCTGGAGCACACCTTTGTTTCTTTCTGTAAATTTTTAATGACACCTCTAGCTAACCAGTTGGTGAAGCTCAGTTCCTGCATAAAAGTGGAAAGGCACAGCTATCTACAGGAGGACTAAGCCTTTCAGAAGCTAATTTGAGCTTGTGTTCACCCACACCAACAATGATTAAATTACCTATCAAGTGTGCAGAGCTATCAGGATTCAGGGCATTGAAAAACAAGGTGAATTTATCTGATTGATTTAAAAGACATGGGTGGAACAAGTTGGTTAAAAAAAGAAAAAGTATATTCCTTGTAGATATTAGAGAAATACTTCTCGTGGTAACCTAACAAACTTGTTACTTTGCCTCCAAAAGTCATTTTGCCTGCCCATAAAACAAATTTATTAGTTGGAATCAAAAGGCTTTATCCAAATCAGTTAGCAGGCTGAATTAATTCATGAGGCAGAAACAAAGCAACTTATTGGGTTCCATCCCTATGCCGAGCAGAGATGTTTAAAATTAAAATATGCAAACATCATCTGTGCTTTCTGGACAGTCAGTTTCCAAAAGCTGATAGTAGCACTCAGATTGGATATTGCAACACAAGGGAGAGAGCAGCTCTTCTGGGTCTTGCTCCTTCCTCAAGCAAAACTTTTGTTGCAGTTGATGGGGAGGGAGGAAGAGGTTTCTAGAATAAGCCCTGGGTAAGAGATTGCAAGACTCCTGCAACTGTATTTGCAAGCTGTGCCGCTGTTGCACATTGATAAAGGAGCGCTCCTCAAGTCTCTGCATGCTCTTTCCTTAAGAGGGAGAAACCAAACAGGTCAGTTGTGTCAAATTCATCTCCCACACAACCCCAGCTCACATCAGGAATGGATTTTGCCTTTATTTATGATTTGGGTCTTTCTCTAAACTTAATAGTGAAATATAGCTCAGCATACAGCCCTTTGAGGGAATTCTGATTTAGAAAAGCACTGAAATATGCATGTAAATCAATGAAGTGCTTCTCTAGCAGGGACCTTACGAGATGCCTGCTCGGAGTTAAAATTCCAGAGATTTTCCCTGCCTGAATCCTGGACCTCAATCCATTGCTAAGCCACATCCTGTCTGTCTGGCGTGTTTTCACCTGCAGTGGAGATGGCTTCTGAGAATCTCAAGGGTCATTGTAATTCTTCTTTATTTTTTTTTTAATTGTCATTAGGATAGTGGTAATTTCCAGTGTTTTTTCCTCTGAGTAATAAAGCAATCTAAATAGATTTAAGGCATGGAAACCTCTGTAATACATTATAAGGCATGTAAAGTGATGAAACCAGATTGGAAAGCATATTTGCGCATCTAAAGCTGCTGATGAGTCTGAGTATGTACTGGGTATGGGTATCTAGTTGTGTCTTTGACTGCCGAATTGGTCAGGTGGGGGAGAAAAAAGGGAAAAAAAAACCAACCCAACCAAACACACGAGTCTCAGAAAATTTCCTGAGTCTTTCTGAGGGCAGTTCGCAATATACACAACATACGGACTATAAACAGAGGGAGCACATAAATCTGGAAGAAAGTATCTAATACATGATAAAAATACTGGCCACACCTTGTTAGAATAATGTTGCCTAACGGATTAACCTGGAGCATGTGATAAATCTTTCAAATAAGATGAAAGCACTTTTGTGTGCTTGTTCTGACATGCTTCTCATCTGGATTTATTTTTTTTTGGTAGATATTACACAACAAAAAAATACCGAATAAGACAAACCTAGAAAGGAAATAATGTGGCAGCTAATTAAATTATTTATTTATGTTAAATACCATCCAGCCAACTTTCTGACACACGTGTGATCTCCCAGCCAGCTGGGTACAACCATGCACGTGGAGCATCCACCCCAGCTCGCAGAGGCCCAGCTTGCCAAGGCACTGGCAGCAGTCGTAGAATCATAGGATGGTTTTGGTTGGAAAAGTACTTTAAGAGCATCACTGGGCTCCTCTGCTCAAGCAGCCCAGAAGGCCCCTCAGCCACTGGGCTTGTCCTGGCAGCTCCCTCCGTGATGTGCAGGACAGAGAGAGCTGGTGAGCCCAGGGCATGGGCAGGAGCGCAGCACAGCGTGCGTTTAAGATGGCCAACATATTCCATTGCTGTGCCTTCTGTAATGTAGCCAGCTGGCATTAAAGGGAAATCTGAGGTGATAGATCTACTTC